ACTTGAATCCCCATTACCCAAGGATACTATGTAGCAAGTTTGGTTGAAATTGGCCCAGCGATTCTTGAGAAGAAGTCGAAAATGTGAAAAGTTTACAGACAGACGGACAGACAGACAGACAGACAGACAGACAGACGGACAGACGGACGCCGGACAAAATGTGATCAAAAAAGCTCACTTGAGCCTTCGGCTCAGGTGAGCTAAAAAAAGTATACCTTTATGATAAAATAAACGAGAAATATGAAGTTTTCTTTTATTTTCGTAGTCTTGTATCCTAAATATTGACCTTTCTGCACCAAGACAAAGGTAAGTAAGCACTGACAAACATCTGAATATAAAACAATTTTGCGAAAAACGAGTATTTTGTTTTGATTAGAAATAATTTAAACATATTAATTCTTTTCTTCTTCATTCCAATCATTCTGACCCCCCCCCCCCCATTTCCCCGTGAACAACTAACACCTATCAGAACCTAGGAATGATTTTACACAAAAAAAATCTACATTTACTATAAAACAATAAGCAAATATAGGTACAAGTACATTTCTTAATTTTATTTAGTTTTATCCAGAAAATACAATTAATGGTAAACATATGCATGAAATTAAACATATTATCTTTATTTCAGCCGCTTTCTTTGCTGAATTTTATATCACAGTTACAAAAGTCAACAAATAAAAACAAACGTCGCTTTTGTGACGTCACATAACGCTACTTTGACGTAGAACGACATAGGTCCCCCTTAACGTAGAACTTACGTCGTATGACATCATAACTAGTGAATGTGTTTAGCCTGTGCTAAATCCATTATGACGTCATAATTAATTCAATGTCACCTTTTCCCGTACTTTACAGCTTCAATATAAATGGTAGAAAATACTGCATTTTGAAAGTCACAGAATTCTATTTATGTTACCATTTTGAAGGAATGTAAAAATCCTAAGAAATCTTCAGTTGCCAAATAAATAGTGTAATTTCTTGATGAAATGTGTCTGAGTCAAAGATGTACGTGTTTTAGATGGTGTGATCATGTGTACATTTTTGTGATATCTATAATGAAACGATGTGCATGCATTTTTTTTTCATAATTATACTCACCGTCAATAGAAACGCAACACCTTAATTTTAGGGTGAAAATTATATACAGGTCATAACTATGTACCAAAAAAGTTAGGACATCTTTTACTTTGCCAATTCAGTTATATAACGGTTGAATGAATTTCTTTCCATTACTGGAAGTTGCTTTCTAGCCCTCTAAACGGAATTCAAAATTTTCCATTTTTGAAAATTCTTGGTGTTTGATTACAATTTTTCTATTAAATATAATCTTTTAAAATTAAAAGTACAATTTTTGATGAACATTTTTAATCTGAAAGTAACCCCAAACAGTCATTTAATAATTAAATCCCGTTTAAGTGCAAAAAGGTCAAGATTATTAGCATTGGTAAATAGCCTGTCTCTCATTAGTTAGAGGCGAAAGGTATATATTTTAATCATTTTTTGTAATCATTTGAGTATGTTCTCCATCATATTAAAGGCTTCGTGATCGGGAGGCCCGGGTTCGATTCTCGTTCGCGGCGCCGCGTCATACCTAAGACGTGAACAAAGGTAGTGATTGTTCCTTCGCCAAGCGCTCGGCACTAGAAGTAAAAATATCATGCACGGGTCTTTCGGATATGACCTTAAAAACGTAGGTCCCGTGTCACAGTAGGCGCTGGGCACGATAAAGAACCCCTACTGCTCAATGGCCCTGAGTGCCGAGTATAGATCAAAATTTGAAGCCCTTCACCGGCATTCGGTGACGTCTCCATATTCTCAAGAGGGACATTAAACAATATACAATCAATCAATCAATCATCATATTAAAGATTGAAAACATTGTGACAAAGACTTCTGAAAATTTTTTACAAATGTAGGGTGGAAAATCGACTTTAAAAAATAGAGTTCATTTGCCTATTTCTTTTTTAAATGTGGACTTATCATTTATGTCAATTGAATAAAAAAGAAATTATTCTTGAAAATATTGCTTAATATTGTTAAGTTAATAAAGTCTATAAACGATAATGTTTGAAGAGGTATTTTTGTGATTTTTCATATTCTCTTCTTGACCCCTAAAAATAACTAGAAATTTGTAGTCGAACTACACTGTATGTAATTACCATATCATGTTTCACAGGCTTTACTAGATTTAAAAACAAGGAAACATATGAGCTTTTTAACTGATTTATAAGCAAATACTAATTTATCATTTTGAAAATTTAGAAAATCTTTTGACAAAGACTTTTCCGACATAGGTTCTTCCTTAACTAACCTAACAAGAAGAGCCTCTTCATAGGAGTGAAAAATATAAGATGGTCGTTAAACAACAAATAAACATTTTCATAATTTGCATATATTTGAAATAAATAAAATAAAAATGCGTCTATGAAAATATGTTATCTAGAAAGTTTAAATATCCATGTTATCAATCATTTTTATATAGTCTATTTATATTCCCTATATCATCTATACAAGCGCAAACAGTTCATAAAACTACATATTCACCGGATTTGAGGCCGTATTCACCGGAGGGTCATTGCGCGTGCAGCGGCAATGTGACGTCATAATCAACAAAGGAGGTGAAAAACTGTAATCTGGACATTTTTTTTCAACGACGGAAGTTTGTTAATGCAAGTGGTTTCGTTATTCAGCCTTCAATGTCTTATTTATTCAAAGTCGGACTATATAATAAAACAATTATGGACTATTTTGGTGTTGAATATGGTTTGTTATTCACCAGAAAAATATCCATATTGACCTCGGCTTCGCAATTTTTATTGTGATAATGTAGAGGAGTATGGCAAAAAGTGAATATTGTTATGAAGTATGATGTGCAGTGGAAAAATATTGTTATAGATTTCTACTTCGAAACAAATTCAAGATTCTTTTTTATAATACTATAATATCATATTCAGTTTATAAAACATAAAAATTTAAAATAAAAAGCAGAATAGAAAATATTATACAAGAGAAGTCCATGTCAGAAAAAAAAAATTAGAAAAATATTTCATGTTTAAATTGTCAAAAACATGCATATTTCAAGACCGAGTAAAATTTTTAACAAATTTATTTTAATAAGCGTTTATTTTGTTGTTTGTTTGTTTTTGTTCTCATGCTGGTTATCCTAAATATCCGGGTTAACTGGCAATTGTTAATGGGTATTGATGAAAGCTGTGAAATAAAAGATTTAAAAATGCGTCCTAAATTTATCCTGCTTAAATACGACAAAAAATCCTTCTTCAATTTCCATATGTTAAGAGAAATGTATTAAGTAGAAATAAAGCGATACATGAGAAAAAAAACACTACACACATGTGGTATTAAGTCAACATTTACAACGAAAATTTATATAAAGCTTTTTCTTAAGACTGAAACAAAAATCAGTCCTTTAGATCAACCCATATACTTGCCTAGAAGTGATATTTTAGTAATTTGGACATTTAAATAGTCTATCAATATCTCTTAATAAACTGTTAAGTTAAATATCTATATTGCAAAAGAGACTCCATATAGTTACCAGGTATTTTTAAAGAATCATAATCTAAGGAACAGTTTACTCGATCTCAAAAAAGTAAGCTAGAAATGAAAAGGGTACATGTACATGTATTATACCCCTTTCGATCTAACATCAATATCCATTTACATTATTTTGCCTCCGTACATTGCTCAAGTTACTCTTATGTTGACATAAAAGATACTAAAGAGTCTGACATATGTGTTTCATATTTATCTAACAACCAAGCTCTATGATAAATGTGGGGACATTGACTTTTCAATCGTCAACTTTCCTCACTTATGCAGCAATATACCTTAATCAACTGTATACGTGTCTCTCAGTTGATCCAATACGCAAGAGCATGTTCTACGTATGTACAATTAATAAAACGGGTCAAATTATTGACAAACAATTTGATAAAACAAAGATATGAGCTTTGTCTCTTTTAAATTCTTTATTTTGTAAGTTCTATGGTCGATACCATGACCTTGTCAGCAAATACAATTTATTATTGTGTAAAGTGCTGACTGACGTTTTTCATACTAATTTTTAGTCCATTATTTATACACTGAATTGACTACGGATTTTTCCGTTGTTTCCCGATCATGACGAGGAGCACAGAGCGGATGTGACCAGTCGGCAACTGGGTTATCACTCATCCATGGCACCTAATCCCACCTCTAATATATTTGTTCCCATTTGCTTGATCCTATTTTATAATGTTTAATGGACTTTTGAGCTTGAATACCATTCGTTATCTCCATTCTTTCCATTCTAAATGCCTCGTGGGGATCCAGGTTAGAATAGGTCCTCAGTACCCCCATGCTTGTCGTAAAAGTCGACTAAATAGGGCGGTCCTTCGGATGAGACCGTGTAAACTGAGGCCCCATGTCACAGCAGGTGTGGCACGATAAAGATCCCTCCCTGTTCAAAGGCCGTAAGTGCCGAGCATGGGCCTAAATTTGCAGCCCTTCACCGACAATGATGACGTCTCCATATCAGTGAAACAGTGAAATATTCTGGAGATGGACGTTAAACAGTATACAATCAATCAATCAATCATTCTAAATGTATTTTTATGTATTTAAAGATAGAATGACAGTTTTACAGTATTTATGCTGTGTTTACCTGGCTTTCGTTGAGATTTCTAAGTAGGAACATTTCATGGCACATAAATTTTTTGTCTTGCTGTACAAATACCTACTTGGTAAAAACAACCAATTTCCTTTTCTATTACAAATGATAAATGCAATGATAAATATACATATGTAGATAACATTATAAATTATTCATACGTACTCCTACACCCTCTCTCATCCACAAACAAACACGTCCTCTCACACACACACACACACACACACACACACACACACACACACACACACACAGAGAGAGAGAGAGAGAGAGAAGGAGAGAGAGAGAGCAATTTATCTAAATGATTTCTTTAATTACTTAACCATTCTGGTTATGTTGAAATGCATATAATATTACCTTGATAACATGTTTGGTTGTATGATATATAGCCACTCTTGCAGACACAGCTATTATTCTTGCACACGTCTGCATGTAAACTTCCAGTACACTGTTCGTTCCAATGACAAAACCCACCAATAGCTACGTTACCTGAAATTTTGTTCTTTGAAACAAATATTGCATAATGTATGTACAAATGTTGACCGAGAAAAACATCTTTTTTCAATATTCCAACTTATTTAAAATAGAGAGATAGACAGCAAATTATCTAAAATGATTCTTAATTACTTTACCCTGCTGATAATGTTGAAATTCATCAAATATTACCTTGATAACATGTTTGGTTGTATGATATATAGCCACTCTTACAGACACAGCTATTATTCTTGCACACGTCTGCATATAAACTTCCAGTACACTGCTTGTTCCAATGACAAAACCCACCAAAAGCCACGCTACCTGAAATTTTGTTCTTTGAAACTAATGTTGCACATTGTATATTAAGATGTTTACCAAGAATGAAGTTCTCTTTCGAAATTTTCCAAAAACTACCTGACCATAATTATTCACTTCGGCATTTTCTTAAGAAATGCTAATGTTCTAATTTTTGCAAAAGAGTATGAGGTTGTTATGTCATATATGCATTTGAAAGCGACATCTTAACTGAATGAAGTATAAACGGTTGGGTGCGACAATTTTTTTTTTCGACTTACAAAAATATTAATAGCGATATTTTCTTAAATATTAATAGGCTACAGGAAAATACGAAAACAGGATGTGACAATTAAAATTTTATATCAACGTTTATTTAAAAAATAGTAAAACAGGTACAATGTATGTTGCTAACCTTGGATTGGGGATATGAAAATAGAAAAAAATATATCAGATTTTTTTAAAAATACTATTCAAATAGATTGAGAAAAAAAAAAACACGAAAAATCAGGCAAGCGTTTCAAACATTGTAACTCATAGTATACATTTATGTCTTTTTAATTCTTAATTTTTTTCTTTATGATCAGTTACCTTCAAAACAACTGTTTTGTATTGCAGTATATCCCTCTCTACATGTACATTTCCATTTCAAGCATACAGCAGAATAGTTTGCGTCTCTACACTGAATATCCGACACACATAGACCACCGATAGGAACATCAGCTAAACATATGAAATATTAAAAAAAACATTGCATTTTAAATTATTGAACAATGCAAAAATTTGCATAGATTGAATTTTTTCTGTTTAAAGACAGGTGATACATTCCTTAATAACTTATACACTTTCCGATCGACGTTTTGCCATGTTAAAGCTGACATGAATTCTTAAAAACGCAACATTTTCATCTATGTACGACTTGTTTCATACCAACTATAGTCGTATTCCGCCATATTTCTTTCAGATACCTTGTCTCATTTTAACGATATAATATACCCCAAAGCGCTCGTTACAGTTGAATGAGTTTTTGGTTTGGGTATCGACTTGTGCACATGTCCGATGGTAAAGCATATGAGAACACATGAGGAGATCAAGACATTTAAAAACCACAATAAACAACATAATAACCATATTTCTGAATAATTATTGATTTGAATCAAAAGAAAAAAATGCAAGTTTGGAAGAAAAAATTAGTTGCGCGTGTACGTATTTTTATAGTGCGCCAATTTATGCAGAAAAAATTGAAATAAAAGCAGTAAAATCCGCAAACACATTTTGAAATTATCATTTGAATGGAACAAAACAATCAGCGTCTTTGATTTGCAGCCCCTAAGCAATTGGTGCATATCGAGAAAACGCCTCAAACGCCGTAAACGTATCCATACCTGGTAATAAGGTTATTGCATCGGTTCGAAGATGTGCACAAGTCCAGTGATATACACCCTGAATTCCATTTATTGAAATATCCATCACAAAAAAGAAATAAACTCCGTAAAAGTAAAAGTAAACACACTGTCATTACTCCGTACAGACTAGCAGGCCGATACATTTAGTCCGTGCTGATCAGATTTTGGTCAGGGAAAATATCACAAGTGGAAAGAGAAGCTATTTGGTAATTTGGTATTTGCATGGCTGAAAGGGGGAGGGGGTGTATTATAACTGCTGTTCATAAAGTATAACTGTAAATTGTCTATCTATACATGTAGTTCTAATATACATTCTATACAAAGTCATGTATATAGTCTGTATATAGTTGGTTTGCGTCGCAAAATTCATTTGTCAATTATAACTGATTATTTTAGTACTAATCTCAAATCTAAACCAAGTAATTTGATGTACGGTAATTATTTACTTCAAATCTTAAAAGCAATAAACCAGAATACAATTTTTTTATGTGTACATAGATCTATACGTTCTATAACACACAAACACACGAAGAAATGCCATCCCCTGTTCAGATTGACATCTAGGCATTTGATTTTAAGGCGGGGGAGGGGGAGCATGCAAAAATAATTGACATGACCGTTATCTAAATATTCTTGGAAGACAGACATCTCTGCCGAATTCAATTTTGAATTTTTTTTTTAAATATGTCACTCCAACCATAAAATATGTGCATTTTGAAAAATGTATAAATGTTTTATAACTATGTTGTTACTGTAGATCAAAAAATTTCCGCGAGACCTTATTTTCGCGAGTTATTCATTGATTCTTGATTAGCGAGGCAACATTTTCGCGAATTGTGGTTATTGTTCTATATACTATTATTATTAAGGAATACTATTACGCGCAAGAATTAAATTTTTGCGATCACACTGTCTCCCGTAATTACGCGAAAATAAAGTTCTCGCGAATAAAAAGTGATTTACAGTATAGAGAGTCTATCGAGATTTCAGTATTCCTGCTTGATAGTCTCGCTATTTTTTTTAATATAAAAATAATTTCTGTAGGAGTATTTGGGAGGTAATTTCAAAAGCTAGGGTAATGTTTCTTGACACTGGTTGAATACGGATAATTTTTATTTACTCTTTTGTATATTGAACTAACTCTCTCTCTCTCTCTCCCTCTCTCTCTCTCACTCTGTAACCATCCCTTAGGGCAATAATAGGTATAAGATCCTACGCACTTTCTGCAGTACCATTTATTAAGCCTTAAGACCGATCAAAGATTTCTTTTTCAGGCGGGATGTCGAAACTCCATAAATTGAATAATAATTCAAATTTGGACAAGAACTTAACCCAAACGGCCAAATTGAAAGAGAAACTAGAGGTATTGTGAGCAATGAGCTCACTAAATGATACCCCCGCCTCCCATATGGTTATAATGGCAAAGTCCATATTTTGCTGTCGTCGCTAAACCCAAAATCCGTGTCGGATCAAAAAGTAAAATAGGAGGTGCACAATGGTAATATGTAATAAACCTAAGATTCTGTGAGTTATAGTAAATTTCAATAAGTGGTATAAGAGGATTTGCGGATAAGAGATGGGTACCCCAAAGCGTAACAGACCGACGGACGGACATAACTATTACTATATACCCTCCAACTTTTCAAGCGGGGGATATAATAAACGTTAAATATACATCACAGGAATGGGTACATTGGGAACTTTCTCAAATACCCTCTTAAACGCATTGGCGTCGGAAGCAAATTGAACGGGGGGGGGGGGCTAAGTGCAAAGAATTTTTTTTATACATTCAAAAAATCTGAGAAGCTTAAAAAGAGGAGAAATGCCCTTTTCCAAAACACGAATATCATATTTCGTGTGGGGGAAAGGGGGGGGGGTAGTTTCGAACTTCAGTAACAATTTTTTTCTCCAAACACAAACACTTTCCTCTTTTTTATACTGCGACTTGTCTGTGGAAAGTGGGGGGAGGCTAAACCTACGCCGCAATGTTCAATGTCTATACTAAGTATATATTTGTAAAAAAAAAAATTAAAAAAAAAAAAAAAACATCCCCCGGTTCCGACACCTATGCTCAAACGTACGAGTCGAACCTGAACCTGGACAACAGACAAGAGAATTTTTAAAAAGCTAATTGTAGGTAGAATGTGGAATTCTCACGGGGGATGGGATGGGGGGGGGGGGGGGGGGGGGTTGCTTTCTCTTTCTATCTGCTTTTTCTAGTAATCATTAATTATCTATGTCCAGAAATTTATTCATATTAATTTCTGGTCAGCACAACTTCTTATAAACCACTGACCAGAGTTTTGTCGAACTTTCGGATATCTATAGGAGTCAATGTGTGTCTAGATTTGCACATCACCAGGAAATTCCGAATTCTTTATTTTTTCGGGAATTTCCACACTTTTACATTTAGATTTTGGCCATATCTTGAATATTAAAATGAGCAGTTTGTCAGCGCAATTCCCAATAAACCGCTGCACACAATTTCGTCAAACTTTGCAGATATTTAGGACACAATGTACATAGATGTGCATATAACAAGAAAATTACAATTCGTTTTTTTTTTCTGGGAATTTCAGCACTTCGACTTTTGGGGGAGCGTGGGGTATGTTTTCATTCATTGTGCATAAAATTATAAATAACTTTAAATCAAATTATATTAGGTCTAATTTAGGTCTATGGTCTAATAAAGTCAATACACAGTATTTATTTGATAATAATTAATCATAAAGAAATCAATCTGTTACTGACGTTTTCTTAAATTATTTTTATGAGAGTGTTAATATGCCTGTTTTATTACACCCCCCTCCCCCTCCTATCACAGGAAAATATCTTCAAAAGGTGAATGATTCGTAATAATGAATGCTTTATAATAAATTTAATTAAGTTAAACCATGTAATCATAAATTCTATTTGCAACATTTACAGACAAGAGTAATGTTTAGTTTTGAAAAAATCCCTTGCATTTTTTCAATCAGCCCCACGGAGCTTTCAACCTTTGATATTTTCCCTGAGCAAATAAAATGATCGGCATGGGCCACGTGTGTCCAAGCATCTTTTACTGTTGAGTTAGCAATGGATTACTGAGATGCATTTTTCAATACAAGTAAAATAGGATAATTCTTTCGACATGTGCATATCCCTGTAACGATAGCAGTATATTCAAGTAAAAGTTTTATCACTGCGTTTGACGCGTTTTCTCGACCTGCATGGATTTTTGCTGTACATGAATGTATTCCGTGTAAGTGTTTTTTTTCATACTGCAGCAAATGCATTAAAAAATAATTTAATTCTCGGTATAGTTCTATTGTTTGGTTGAATTCTTACTTTTCAAACATGTATTTGGTCAGTTTATTCAGTTTATGGACTTCTAAAACTATGCTATCGGAGATGTGTACTTGCGACAGCCAGGCTACAAAATCACTCAAGTGAAACAATTCTACAAGGCTATATATAGCAGGTACAGGTGGCCAAAAAATCTTCGATAAATATGGTGGAATTGAAGAAATATGGCGGACAAGGGCGTACAGTAATGTAGTAAGTCGTACAAAGATAAAAACTGATGCCTTTTTAAAAGTTCATGTCAGCTCTAATATGTTTACTCACGAAAAATATTAAGGCACCTTACCAGACATTTGTGTAAGGTGTGAAATAGTTTATTCTCCTTTTTGAATAAAATTAAATTAAATTGTTAGCATATTTTAAAGTTTGAATTTCAAGACAATTAGATACTAAATTAGAAATTAAAAGGTAATATTGCTTTTAAACGGTGTTGAATATAATAAAAGATGCAGGACAAATTCTTGACTTCAAAAATAGCAAATTCGCAATGATTTTTCATTTACCTTTCTGCAAGGCACTACGTGTTCTACGTGTCAAACAAAATTATCGATATACATATAGAATACGTACACGTGTATGTGTGAAAATCAGTGCTCTGAAGTCATAAATAACAAATAACAAAAATATGAACTCAGAAAACCACACTATAAAATTAATTATGTTAAACACTTCGACAGCTGGCGACATTGTAGTGTTCCAAATTATCACTCAGTACTCGGGGTAGAGCAGGGAAAGGCTTCTTATCATACCAGAAAAGCTAGGATCTTGTAAAAGACACATGTTTCTAACACCGATTTTTACATGTACTTTAAAAAGAGATTCTGAGATGAATGGACTGGTTAACAGAAGGAATAAAGGTTATAATTTGTAAATCAATAAGAAATAAAGAAAAACTGAAAAGTCTACAGGTGAACGACATACATGTACACGGAAACCGCCAATTACTATAAGAACAGATCCATTTGAGATTAGTTTTGGGAAATTTTATATTAAGTAAAGGAATTAATCTGTTAATTTATTCTTAACTATGTTGAGTAAGAAATATATAACTCAGTGACTATAAGAAAGTCTGCAGTATTGCGTTTATTAATTGTTGATGCTTCCAAAAGTGTAGATATCAAGAAGTTTTAAAATTACATGAGTAACGTTTTGATATCATCAGTGTAGCGCCGATAGAAATTTTGAATGATTCGTTTATTAAACAGTATAATATGATCAATAGAGATTTTGTTTCATAAAAAATCTGTAAACTGTGTAAAAAATTTATATATAGTGCATTACATTACTTTAAAAAACTCAGATAATTAACCATGTTGAAAGGATTGATATTACCTTGAAAACATCTTTGGTTGTGTGATATAAAACCACTCTTGCAGGTACATCTATTATCCTTGCACACGTCTGCATTAAAAGTACCAGTGCATTGCCATTTCCAATGACAAAACCCACCTAAAGTCACTTTTTCTGAAATGTTGTTTATTGAAACACATTATGCATGAAGTGTACCGGAGAATTGTCATAGAAAACCACGATCATTTTTAGTTTTTCGTTTTTTCGTAAATTACTCTATCAAAATTAATCATTTTTTATATAATAAATAATAAAGTAATGATTATGTTGTCTTACACAAAAGTATGAGATTGTCAGGTAAACTTCGGTATCTCGACATCGGATATGTCGACAACCTGGGATATGTCGACGTCTGTCCGCGGTCCCGGCATTATTTACTATATAAATGATTTGCAAAAACGCTGATATGTCGACCTCGGTAATGTCGACTACCCCGCTTATCTCGACGTATATTCACAGTCCCAAGAGCAAAATTTACCTGGTATATGTCGACATCGGGGCAATTTTCTGCTCTTCTTAACCTAATTGTTTGTCAGCTGGTCGCTCGTCACGCACGGACGACTCCGTGTATCTCGACGTCGTCAGAAATTCACACCTTTCACACCCATGTTTTGACTACATATACTGCTCTGTAGAAATGTGTTTGTAGAGGAATCCCAAGCCCCCTCGGCATCTCCAAGACATTAATTGTTTAATATTCAGCTTGGGTAATATCATCGATAAATCTTCTCGATTCTTCGTAAATGTAAAACCGTTTATTTATGTTAAAATCTAACAAAACTTAATCATTTTATTTAAAAAAAAGGTAACTGGATGACAATGAACAATATACGTATTGAATTTCAATTTAACTTAAAAATTGTGGTAAAAATGCATTCAACAGGAATCAATCAAATCTACGACATGCACGACCATTGCATCAGCCTATGGAGGAATATGTAACATCATTAAATTTGTTAAATGCGCAAATCCAGTTAAATTTGGTTTGAAAATTAATGATAAATGATTATGAAATAAAAAAGAAGTGAAAGGAAATTATTTATTAAAACATATACGCATTAATTTTTTCCGTATCTCGGAAGTCAACTTGGTACCGTTCCGGTTTGGCGTTTATAGAGCGCATTTCGTATCCTGTTCTGACAGTGCTTGTGGCACGCGGATCGAATGCTGGATGGAAGACGGATTTTAGTAAAATGAGAATAATTCGATAAAAAGAAAGCATTTCATAAATAACATTTTTGAATAACTTCTTAGATTTTCTTTTAAGAGAGATAGCTGAAAAAAACGAGCTACAGTCTAATTGAACTGAAGGCATGTAGGTACCTGTAGTTACACGTCTGTTCAGTTTAGGTCTATGGTTGCAGTAAAATTAAGGACGTCTAGTCTCAACTCTGATATCTCGACACCTCGGATATCTCGACATTTACCGACTGTCCCGTCGATGTCGAGATAACGAAGTTTACCTGTATATGGAAAATGTACATGCTTCATTTCAAAGAAAATCTCATAATTATATGTGCTAAAGTTTGAAAACAATAATTATCTTTTAGATCCAATTATCTTGTTTATACGCAGTAACTTGATTGATTGATTGTATACTGTTTAACGTCCCTCTCCAGAATATTTTACTGATATGGAGACGTCACCATTGCCGGTGAAGGGCTGCAAATTTAGGCCTTTGCTCGGCACTTACGGCCTTTGAGCAGGAAGGGATCTTTATCGTGCCACACCTGCTGTGACACGAGGCCTCGGTTTATACGGTCTCATCCGAAGGACCACCCCATTTAGTCGCCTTTTACGACAAGCAAGGGGGTACGGAGGACATATTCTAATTCGGATCCCCACGGGGTCACAGTAACCTGAAGATGGCCTTAAAAAGTACTGCTTTGAAACTCTAAGGATTATAATGAATTCGTATTTTTACTGTGGCTTATATCTATTCGTTTCTTTTAAAAATTTAATTTGATATTTTCACAGTATAGAATGATAAAAGAGTATATAATTAAGCCTAAAAATAATAAACTGATGCCATTTCAGTAAAAAGCACGCTCCAGCTTGCAATAAATTCTCATATTATGAGAAAGCAAGAATTCATCTCCCATTTGCATCTAACTTTGGTCTAGATTTCATTTTATTTGACTGTTCAGTTGAAAAAGAAATCAAAAGTAAAACTTGTTCTGGGGATAAAATAATAAATAGGCATAAAAAATCAGAAGTTGGTTTAATACCATCCATATATTTTTAGAAAAATGGCAACATTAGGCGTTTCCAAAATTGTATTTCAAAGCCAAAATCAGTTACCTGCATTCGGGTAACAACTGTTTTGTATGGCAGTACATCCCGCTCTACAGGTACATCTCAAATTCCAGCAAACACCAGAGTAGTTTGAGCCTCTGCACTGAATATTTGATACACATATACCACCAATAGGAACATCCGCTAAAGAAATGAAATTAAAATCAACATTGCCTGGAAAAAAATACTCGATTACATTATAGATACATTGACATGGACCTAGTTTTTTTTTCAGTTTTGGAAAAGAAAATAACTTTCCTGAATACTATACAGTGTATTTTTTTCCTGAGTTTCTATTATTGAATTAATTATTGCTACTATATAAATATTGCATGTAGCTGAGTGAAACATTGAAAATTATCACTTCAAGAAAACCATTGTCAATCGAGGCCAGCTACATGCAATATTAATTATATTATATATACTGAATGTTTGATACAAATACATATAACAGTGAACCGTGCGCACATAAATTCTGCACAATCGCTTTTTTTTTTGGAATATGACCCGTCGTCAAGCAATATTGGCGTGGCTTCATTATTCAGCTTGTAATAGTGTTTTTTAACAAATAATTTTCGATCAATCAGATTCAACCAATTTACATGAAATTATAAAATAATAGCTACCCGCTTCGCGGTTTATAAAGCGTAAACTGCCCCAACCCAGTTTATACCGTATTAAATGGGTAGCTATTAAATTCATTGTTTATAATTTAATTTTCATTCATTTGATGTAAGAAAAAAAGATGATTGTTCTAACAAAATGACTTCAATTTGTACAAAATTTGAATGTAACATCAGGCGGATTGATACGCTTTTGACAAAAGTCATTGTGACGTAGGCAGCCCATTTTATACGATATAAAGTAATTTTTTATCCAATCAAATACAGCGTTACAATCAGAATTAAATTATTTTATAATGAATAAGACTCCATATTATATTTCTTTAGAAAAAAAAAATTGGTCCAAAATTGAGTTTAGCAAATGACTTTTTGAATTCAGTATCCCATTTTTGATACGTTATAAAATCCAATACATTACTATGACAGAATATTTTCCTCGTGCTATTATGAAAACAAAGTACAAACTTTTGAGTCACTTCATAAAATTGGTGGAAACAGGTATATTGAGAGAAATAAAAGGAGTCAAACTTACCTATTATGTATGATTTTTCCCAAATTAAACCTATCCCGATCGGAATTATATACGGTACAGAAGAAAATACTATAATTGTAATTGTATTTCTAAATTAGGCTCTTCTGTTGTATTATATACTTGTCAAAATTTCTAAGTCCCCACGTTTTTTTTTTCAAAAAGTTAAAAACCTTAACTTCAATTTACTAGTTGCTTACAAGTTTGCCTTTAATTTGCAATACTTACCTGTTAAGGCCGAAAAAATTGTAATCGAATATGTAAATACTCGACTGTGACCGTATTTGTTAAAACGCACGAAGTTCGAGTTCCATATGTTTTTCGGGCGTATTCTTCATATTTCTTACTTCCATGTGTTCTCTAACTTTAATTGATATCGAAAAACAGAAAAAAGCTTGGATAAAATGCGATTTATGTCCACACAACAATGTGGAAGTGAAGTTGAAATGGCCCTAGCTGGTTGTAGTTAACGAAAGTTCTGTTTTCTTTCACTGTATGACTTTATTTTACTTAAAACCTTTATAATTACTTCCCGAAAAACCTACAAAGCGTACCGAAATTCCTTTTAATCGTTAGAAATCGCTAGATTTTCAACAAACATCACAAAATCATCCCAGAATTTACTTCGGAAAAATCAATGGAACCGGAACCGGAAGTGCCCTCCGCTCAATGTTAAACTGGAGGAGTGGGGAATACTTGTAAGAAGATTATGTAACTTTTGTTGACAAGGCACAGACAATTTCGATAAGCCCCCTTATCATCCTAATCTCAACCCTAATTAGCATGTATGGAAGAAGATAGACCTGAGTGTGAGACAGCTTTTCCAGCAGCAGAATCTAGTCTCAACTTGGAAAAACATTCAATAAAAGAATTTTTCTTAAATAGTGTAAATCTTTGAGGAAAGTTGTCTTGCTGTGAATTCTTTTGAAGAAGAATTCGTTCAGGAGAATGATGCAGTATCTAACGTTGTGAATTTCTAGGGTGCCTTAACGTTTCTGCATATTGTGTTACAGCGCTTCAATAAAATATATTGAGAAAAAATGTTTTGCTATTTATTTATCCTGTATACTTAATAAATTATACTGTTAAAATAATTCAATATAAGAGCGGTGTAAAGTAAAAACTTGCCTGGGGACTTAGAAATTTTGACTAGTATAGTTCAAAATGTACTTTATTTTTTTTATACGTGTATTATAGGTGGCAGTTGCCTATGATTTGATTACTTTATAAATTTTGAATTATTTTCGATCGAGAGCGGTTTTATTTCAATCGGGTATGGTATTTATCGTGAAATTTGGAAAATTTTCTAAACTTGGTTTTTCATTTTAATTTACCAGAAAAATAGTAAAGAGTTAAATTCTATTAGTGGCAAAATAATTCTTGCACGTACCTACAGTATAAATAGAGAAACTATTTTTATGTGTATAGTCTTAGGTTTATCCAAGTTCTTTCAATCTTTCATCTTTTAAACCTTTTCTCCTACAAATTCCTCTTTTACGAAATTTTATTTTATGTAAATAAAGAAAGTTCATTTCATATACATCATTATTTAAGAGTCCATATATTGCAAGCAAAAACCAGGGGAGGGGGGGTGGCATCATGGCATCATTTTTTCAAAAACTGCTTTTATGAATATAAAAACATTTTAGAATTGGCCAACAAAATTTTAACTCCATATTAAACGTGAGTATGTAATTATTTAGATCTCAAAATAATAAGAAATAATAATAATAAAATAAAAACTAGATGAGATCTCGTTGCGAGCAACCAGTAGGTCTTCCGTCTGATTTTTTTTATGATTTTGACTATGATCTTTGTTAGATCATAATAATATCAAGACTTCTCTCTATCAGATATTTCTTTTCGTTTTCAAGCTATGTGGGATAGAAAAATTTAATAGCCAGTCCTTTATATCCTTAATGGGATGTTTTTGCATATATAGAATGGCTGTATAATGTTTAAAAGACGTCTTAAATTCTTTTATCTTTAATTCGATACCGCTTATCAAAATATTTCCCATTTTGGAGATATAAAGAATCCAAGATTGAGCATTTTGACCCCTAATGGCCCCCAATTACGTAACATTTGATCAAAATTTTACAATGCATTGATGCAGATTGTTATGGTCGATACAATGACCTTGTCAGCAAATACAATTTATCATTGAGTCAAATGCTGACTGACGTTTTTCATACCAATTGTTCGTCCATTATTTATACACTGAATTGACGACTGATTTTTTCCGTTATTTCCTGATCATGACAACGAGCACACGGCGGATGTGACCGGTCGACAGGGGATGCCCACTCCTCCACAGCACCTGATCCCACCTCTGATATTTCGGAGGCCCGTGTTTGCTCTGCTCTTATTATGTTCCCCAAACAAAGTTGGGTCACATGTTTTTTACTCTGTTTCTTATTAAGGTCTTCCATTTACAACGGAAGACCTTATTGTATTCGTACGGTTTCTTTCTCCCTATTATGACGGTCTTCCGTCTCCAACGGAAGACCCTCCTATTATTCTATTGGGTTTTTTTTTTTCACTTTTATTATTATTCTTCCTTTTTCTTTACAATTCTTGTGCAGAAGATTTCTCAGAGATGGCTCGACCGATTTAATTGAAAATTTTAGAGATAATGTATTTTTATCTAAACCTTATACTTTTTTTTCATTTTTTTTTAATTCACTTCCGGCCGGGGTCTCCTTGTCCGTGAGTAAACTCAAAAACGACATTAGCTAGAGAGCTGAAATTTTCAGCGATGATAGACGACACATTGCTGAACTGCACATTGGATTAAAAAATTTTCAGAAAGGTCCAATATGGAAGCTCGGTAGGGGTCAAAATCTAGGACACGAATCATGAGTGAATTTTCGAGACATTTTGTATCATATCTTTTAAAGTATAATTATTTTGTCAAGACATACTAAACAATATTTGTGGGGAATGTCAAGATCTTTAATATGATACCAGGAGAAAAGTTACGACTCATCACATTAAGGGAAAAAAGTGGCCAAAAGTATTCATTGAATAACTCTTTAGCAATCAGTATTTTGTTTTACTGAAGCAAAAATGTTTATGTCAACAATCTATAACTATATATTATAATTTTTAGGCTGTATGTTGCATAATTAGGGGCCACAACGGGCCAGAATGCTTAATCTTTGACGCTTTATATCTTGAAAATGAGAAAAATTTTGATTAGTATTATTGATCAAAAGATGTTCATAATAATGTTCTAAGCAATATGCAACCTTTCATTTCTCGCTAAACGTCCCTATTAAGGAGTTGAAAGGTTGGCCCCTAAATATTACTTTTGCAAATAACTCGAAAACGAAAATGAATCTCTGAATAGTTGTTGAACAAAAAGTGTTCAAATTCTTAAGAGTTTTAAGGCAAAATCAAGGAAAAAGGGCTGGGCAATCAAATTAGGGGCCAAAAGGGGCATATATATTACATATAGAATTGTAAATATACCTTTATTGTTCAATGTTTGGTCTTGGTTTCGTTATTTCTCCATTCATCAGAAAACAGTCACTTTTATATCCAGTCGTCACTTAAACCACTCCTGAAATAATTGCGTTCACAAAATGAGGGGCAGTCTAACTTGGTTTTCTTTCTCTGACTTGCCTCGTGTTCTCTGCGACTTTGAAGTAGATACGCCACTGGGCACAATGCAAATATCCGAAACCGCCAATTTCTAAACTGCCTTACACACAAATCATTATGTAGGGTAAATAACGGGGAACGGAAAAAATAAGCTGTTTTCACATAGAACTTGAAAACAAATTCATCGTTTTCAAGATAAATGAATGAATTAGCGTCAGTAGGTTGTTGTGAGAGAAAATTGAGATTGTCTGTTTCTTATCATTTCACCGTTTCTCTTCCGTTGCGTGAATCCCCGCTGTTACACTTGTAATCAACCCCTTGTATTGGATAGAGATGCGGCCATGTCATAATAATCTGACCTTAATTAAGCTGTAATTTCCACATTT